TAGTGAATATCGTAGAACATCTTCTTCATTTAACTAAAGCTGAATTCAGTTCCGAAGCTAAAACAACAACAACGAGTGATGAAATATTTGCTTCGCAGCAGTTATTTGAAATACTCAAGGCTTTCAAACACAGCTGTTTCAATGAACGCCATACCTATGACTCTCTTGAATTTGAAGATGAATACGATGATATGATGGATGAAGACAGTAGTGATGAGTCAGATGATGTTGAAGAAAATCAAGATCCAGATATTAGAAACTATTTCACTTTGGAAGAAATGAAAAGTATTGTTGAATGGGTTGATCAACATCCAAATTATATAATTGCTGGTATTTCGAATAGATTTCGAAAAGTTAAATCTATGAGTTATATCAAAAGATTCAGAGAGTATATTAGTCGAAACGGCTCAAATCTTGAAAAACTAAATAAAATCAAGGATTTCATGTTAAACGAATTTTATATTAAAAGAGCCATTGAAAAAGAAGCAGTTCATGACATTGATCTACAAATTTTTGCAATACAAAAGCCAAGAGATTTAAGTTGGGATACCTTCAAGACAAGTGAATCATTCATTACCAGGTTCAAGAAAGAAAATCGAATTTCATCAAGAAAATACAATAAACTTATTACCCAAGAAACATCAAAAAGAAAAATTTGTACTTTAAATGGTATGCATCAAGCATATTCAAATTCATTATATTTATCCAAAAATAATATATTTTAGATGCCCGAAATTGGATTGAAAGCAAAAGATCATTAATTTCAAGATATACTCCACATGAAATTCTAAACAGTGATCATTGTTCGTTTCAACAGAAATATGTTTCACCAAGAACTCTCCCATTTACTGGTGAACGAACAAAGAAGTAGCTGTTAAAAAGAAACACAATATTACTCACTCGTATACAGTTCAACCTATTAATTCAGCTGCCGGTCACTTGTTAAATAAATTTTTGCTAATTCTTCACGAACAACAAAATGAATTTGGTACCAGAGTGCAGAAGGATTTAATCGTGCCGCCGAACGTGGTTGTACGAGCTTCTACCTCTGGAAAAGTAACGATGAAAATCATCGTATTTTCTTAAAGGAAGTTCTTGCGTCTGTCGTTGGCACAAAATTTCTTCTTTTTCTTGATTGTTGGAAAACTCAAACTGGTCTAGATAAGTTTAGATTAGTATTTCCTAATCAAAAAAGTCAGTTATTAATTTTTCCTGAAGGATCAACCGGTTATGTTCAACCACAAGACTTATCCTTATTTCGTTCGTGGAAATTCATTCATAAGAAAATTGAACATTACACTCACATCAATCGGACAGTGATCAATATGAGTAATCGTCAATATTTTATAAATATGCAATCAGTTATTCATAATCAATTATCTGCTCCATCATTTAAAAATCTAATCAAATCAGGATTTATAAATGCTGGAATAATTCACGAAACAATTGAAGAACTTGGAAAACCAAAGGATATTTTTTTCAAATTCTACGATCTCTATTGTTCAATGAATAATTGTGAAAATCGAACACTTCTGATTTGTGCTTGGTACAAGAAACATTTTTGTCATTATCATCTAATTGAAAAAATCCATATTCATTTGTAGTATATCATAATAAAGTTACTTTAGACTTATTATTTTCGATTTAGATAAGAACAAATGGATTAAAAACGCTTTGCTATGATGATCAAAAGCTTATTTTTCTCATTCATACGTAACTGAACCTTCTGAAAATATCGAAATTTGTGCAACATTATTCAAAAAAATAGTTAATGCTGCGAAAAAACTGAATTCGAAAAATTCTGTTGTTATTATATGTCTAAATTTTCCATATCTTAAAATTTGAATATCTCGATCTAGGCGCGCCACGGGCAGCTCATATTTTCAATTTGGTAGTTTCTCGTTGAGGGCTATCATTTGACATCAAAATAGGTAAGGAAATCGTCTGACATGACAGACGGGTACATTGTTAGGAAAACTCATGTAAAGATCTTGATTTTAAACTCCTCCGTTAGTATAGAAGCGCATGCCATGGCGCTTGACCTTGATTTCTAAAGTCTCTAAGAAAACTGTCTGTAAGATAGGGAAGTTTCCGAAAGGCTCCGACTAAAAGCTTATACTTACTGTTTTTTTTTGAAAATATACGTGAGTTCCACAAAAAGGGAATTTCATTCCACAAAGTATATTAATTATGAGAGATCACACATCATGCTATTCAATCGTCTGTTTGCTTAATTTCAATTTTTCCGATAAGAGTTGATTATTTTCAAATAGAGGTGGCTTAAGGATATGATCCACCAAAGATCCGGATATAGCAGATTCTTATTTTCTACATCGTACATTTTCGAAAATCTTGAGATCATACATGTTTATTCTCGTACAATCAACGAAATCTCTCAGATAAAGTCATCTTTCATTTCAAACTTGTATAAAAGTTCCTATGAAAACCATCGATCATGTGTAATCAAAAAGTCGTTCATTTATTGTAAACATTAACGATCATATGAGATGATAGTCGACCACATAAATCGATATCATAAAGGAAGAGTACAATTAAGCAGTGATAAGAAAACGAAGAAGCAATAGCGAATGTGTTTATATTTATTGTGTTTGTAAGAATATATCTGTTTGATCGCTGCTAGATTGATCTCGATCGTATGTTGATTTTTCATTTCTCGTTTGATTTCCATATGAATGATATTGTTTATGATGATCATATAATTGATTTTGATAAAGAAAACCTTTCCGACAGTATTCACAACTAAAAAGGGAAAAAAGGTTTTCTCGTTTTTATTCCTGAAACTATTTCTATACCTAAATGGATATTGATGTGAATGTCTTGCAATATTATGATCTCGTAAATGTTCAGGTCGAATAAATGTTTTAGTACAAGCATCACATTTATACGTTCTGTCTGATACACTATGTTTAGCTTCATGTTGTTTTAATTTATCTTTACTAAAATGTAAAACTATATAGAAAGAAAAGTCTCGTTTTGTCTTTACCGAGCAAATGCTTGCTCACAACCATCTTGTTTACATTTAAATGGTTTTATATTGGAATGTTTTGTTACATTGTGTCGATTTAAATGAAAACGTGTTGTGAATGTTAATTTACAAATTGAGCAAGTTTTTTGTTGAGGTACATCTTTATTATGTTCAGCAATAATATGTCCGGATAAATCAGCTCGCTTTTGAAATGCTTTAGTACATATTGTACAATGATATAGAGCTAAATTAGAGTGTTTAGCTAAGTGGTTATGATAAGAATTACTTGATTCAAACTCAGCTGGACATAATTGACAGAGAAATGTATGTGTTTCATATTGCATATGATATTGTAATTGATCAGATGTCTGAAACAATTTTTTACATATTTTACATCGATATATACGTCTAAGACGACGATGATAAGTATTATTTTGAGATAAATGTCGAGAATCAGTAAGACGTTTTTGACTATGAATTCGAGCATGAAGAATATAATCAACAGGTTTTTCAAATACTTGAGAACAAGTTTCATTTGAACAACGGAATACTGGATTAAGACCATGAACTAAAACATAATTAAACCAAACTTTTGATGTCATCTTTAGAAGATTCAAAGTTAATTTCTGACGTCATGACTGGAGATTTACAAGGTCCAGACTGAGAACAGTAGAAGATCACCGTTGCTGGGAGAGTGAATCAGTGCAAGAACTCTGTCGAGATCGGAGAAAGTTCAAATTTTATAACGAAACCGAACGAAGAGATCATTTTACTATTTCCCGAGTTAGTCGAAGATGCTTAGTAGAACTAATCTGAAAAAAATAATAAGGAGTATTGTAAAACTATTTTTGGTTCTACACTTGCTGTAGAACCAATTGATGATTCTGTATCGACCTTTTGAACTATAAAAAGTTCCGGTTCATAATACTAAACCATAAAAGGTTCTACCTGATAACGGTGAATCATGAAAGGCTCGCTCTTCAAAAAGGCTGAATTCTGAGAGATTCTGCATGATGACAGTGAACCAGCGTAGATTCTTTACCCAATACTACTGAATCTTGAGGGGCTCTGTCAAAAGATACAGAACCATAAAATGTTATTTGCATAAAAATAATGCATCGAAAGGGTCTGCTCAGTCGCACATTTCTAGTCAGAGTAATTTCGACAAGTTTACAACAAGAACCAAACTACAGAATGTCTATGCAAAGATCTTTTTCAAGAAGATATATCGTAATTCTAAAAGCTTCGCTTAAGCTAATTGCCTTTCTCTCAAATAGACTATTCTATAACATGCCTAAGAGAAGTTTTTATGAGTTTGTAAGTCAGATACTTTCAGACCTGAGAAGAGGGTATTTAAATCTTATCAATCAGATCTAAATATAATCTTACACATTTTTTTATGAATACTTAATGACGCATTTGAATCAAATGTGACTGCACATTGTTTACATTCAAGTGATCCGTCGATAACATCGTTATAACTGGATGATGCATAGTTAATAGAAAGACCAGATTTTGTACTGGTGTTGTTATCTTTAGGAATCCAAGTTGAATGTTCAAAAACATGATTTTCTAAAACAGTTGGTGCCTCAAATTGTTCATCACATACTGGACATTCAAGTATATTCATTTCAGACATTCCATTTTCAATAGATGAATAGTTGATTGAATCAGAAATGTTTCTATCGACTGTTTCATTACTAGTAATAACTTGTTCGACAGACGTTGGAGATAGTAAATCAATTTCTGTTCCTGATGGATTTGATTCATACAATGAGTCTGATGTTGAAGGTAAATTTGGTGAAATATCATCAATAAATGTTTCTAATTCTCCAGAAACTAAAGTTGATAATGGGCAACTAGTTATAGGGCATAAATTTGTTCTTTGTTCACTAACACAAATCGATCGATGAGTAAGAAAAATATTTAAATCAGTAAAATTGGCATGACATTTACCACAAATAAATAAATCTTCTGAGTTGGTTGTACCTAAAATTAGTCATATTTATTTTAAAAAATCAAAATGTTTATTCTACTCACTCATATCTCAAATAAGATCTATAGAATAAATGATAGATTCTGTGAATATAACAAAACTATGTTGTAGGAAGTTAATTAATTTCATATAAGCACGAAATTTAACAGAGTGTACTCACCTTACTCTCGTTTATTGATCAAA